TGTGAAGGAAATACAGGAAATGAAGATACCACATTGGCACTAACATCATTAAGCATATCAGGTGGAATGGGATTTTGTGATGGGAGATTGAGGGTTGCATGGTGGAGGCATCATTACAAAACTGTTCTTCTTTAGGTGTCTTGCAGAACAAACATATCTCAAACTGAAGTGGTTTGGCATTTCAGAATTTTGTTTTTGTTTGTTTGGCTTTTCAATATGGATGTGAAAAAAATCCTGTTTTATTGAAAGTGCATTTTGATTTACATGGTATGCACTTGCCATAACTGATGGTGCAAGTTAAAATCATGATTTGATAGTATTTTGTATTCTTTAAATTTTCAATATCTTATTAGATTTGTTGTTATTTTTCTGCTAATGGCGTGCAGCTCCTATGTTATTCTTTGTATTGCTGTGTTTTGAAGTACTGGATTAGGTAGGTCGATATTGGGGAGAGGCAGGGAGAAGACTCTAACAGATGAAGTTATTTCATCCTTTGGGAAGTTAATGGTGTGGAGTGGGATATAGAACTCAGTCTTTAGAAGTACTCAGTACTTTAGTACTCAAATAGGTTGCTCTGCTTAATCAGTATTTGTGAAGTAACAGTCTGTTATTTATTCTTTAGAATTACTCTTTCTTCTATTGGTAACAATAGGCTGCCATCCTCTGGTGAAATTTGTTAACTGTCTTGTAGGGATCTGACAGATTTTCAGAAGAGAGAAGCCCATTAAAGTTTGGAAAGCTTAGATGTGGAGTATGTATTAATATTTTTATTAGATGGACATAGTTACTTGTATAGGAATAAGCAGTAAGAGAAGACTCTTAGAAAGATTTATATCAAATCTCTTTCTTCCTCTTTTCTTTTTCTATAACATCTGCAGAGAATGTAAAGGTGGAGTTGATATCTTCACAGATTTTCCTCCCTGTCTGGTGATACTGAACTCCCTTGTTCTGTGGAAAGACCATTGAACACCAGTGTATTATTGTTAGTTAGCTATTATTCTGTTCACTTAATTGCTGTGCATATTCAGAAGTCATTGCTGAAACTGTGTAAGGTGCATTTTACATTGTACTGTCTATATGTCATTGTGACATCCACTTGGGGTTATGTTAAAGTGTGCCAAAGATACAAGGTGTGTAAATTACTAGTTATTATTACCTACAAATGCTAGCTGAAGAATGATATCTGAAAATAGTGGAGGATTGTTGAACAAATTTTTTTCTCATAGGTGACAGACATCCTATGAATTTGTGGGACATGATGTGGGAAATTACTGTCTTTTCTCTAAAAATAACTCTTACAGGACATCGTTTAACTATTTGATACTTACCTGCCTTATGCAAAATTGCCAATGTAGTTTGTCACAGATAAAGTTTTTTGAACTTCAAAGCTAGCTGACTTGGCCTTGAAGATGATGAAAAGCTAAGCGGTTGATAAAATCCTTTAGAGATTATTTATTAAGTGTGAGAGTAGAGGCAATATCTTCAAAATAGTGTTGCAGTTTCTTCTATGAATGTTAGATGTATCCAAGGATGCTGACTGTAGAAAGAGTTTCTCAGTCTGAGCGCATGGCAAAGAGGAAAGAGTAAGAAGGCAAGAGAGCTTTTAAGGCCTTGGAAGGATAAGATCAAGACTACATAGCCTCCTACCTCTTAGGACTCTGCTATGTTTTTACAAAGCTTTCCCGTTATATTGACTTCAACAGGTGGACCTAAAATTTGATGAAACTCTTATGAGAGTACCTGTAAAGAATTCTTAGGTTTAGAAAGTACTAACTGTGCTTTTCTAGGGACTGGGACTACTCTGCTAAAGCCATGGCCCAAGGAGTTTCAGACGAGGTCCAAGACCGAGTACACTTTCTGGAATCCGTATTAGGATCGTTAACTAGCCTCAGCCAAAACTCCTTGCCTTCAGAGACCAAAAAGCCCAGTGGCCGTTTTTCTTACATGTGCCTGGCAGTCGTAGGAACACGGGCAGTTGGAACAAAAGCAAGAGGTATTTTTATTTTCTCATGTGGCAATCTACTCACCTGTGGGCATTTGTTATGTTTGGAAATTTTATGCTAAATGCAGTTATTGAGATTTACTGAGAATATAGGTAACTGTTTCCAAGAGCAACTTGCTGCTGAGTAGATTTATGAGCAGTGAGTTCGTTGAATTGGCTGCTTTGGGATAGAGAGAGGTAGGCTAACAAAAGGAAGCAGAAGTTGTTCTACACGTGTTCAGACCTTAGTCCATCTTCTGAAACGTCTTAGTCTTGGCAGATGCAGCATTCCTCTTGTCCCTTGCATAAGCTTCAATTAGATAAGGAATTGTTTGGTTTCTGTTATGTTTCCTTTTAATCCTTACTACTAAATTAGTGTAGAATAATGTATTACATTACACTGTGAGTTTATTCTTTTAGGTAAGCTGCAGAAATTTGAATCAGCTTTTCTATTTATCTTGTCATTGCTAAATTGGTGTAACTAGTATAGCATGAGTGTTTAAGAATACACTTAAACTAGTTATTCATATAAATGTAAGGATTTTTCTGTTATCAATTCTATTCTTTTTACTAGCTTTGTACTTGCTCATTGTTGTGCTTTCAACTGAAGAATTGATTGAAGTACGCCTTTATCCCCCTTACTCGAGGTGAAACCTGTTAAGTGTTCTACAAAGCAGGTAATGGTTTGAAAATTTTCCTTCAGTTTTTCTTTTTTAACCTTCTTTAGGATTGAACTTCTTTTTGCTGTTATGGTGCTATTTGACCACTCTTTTCCACTGGAAGTCCCTCAAATCCTTTTTGGCTCTTGATTACCCTCTGGTCATCTACACATTTTCCTGCCTCACCCTTTATTTGCCTTTCCTCCATCTTTTTGCTAGTAAACTTTATAAGCAGTGAGCCTCTTGGGGAACATTAAGGACTTCAGCTTTTTAGCTGTTACTAGATAAGAATGGGGATTTATTTCAAATCTTTACTTTATTCTTGGACAGTTAGTTGTTATTGACAATGTCTTGTCTCTCTGATACGGGGTTATGAGCTGTTTATGGTAGGATAAGATAGGGTAGCCTATCATTAAAGGAAGGTTGATATTTCCTAAAGGATATGAATGTGCACTTGGGCTATTACCATGAAAGTAGTAGGTGCTCCTGCTTGGGTATGAATGTAGACATTCTGTGTGATGATGATTTACTCTAGGGTAGATGACTAGTCTGTGTGGTGTGTTATTTATGTAACTAGGCTGTTTCGTTCTCAGTTCCTTATTTCTGCCCTTGTTTTTTCCAACATTCTTCCATGCTGCACATAAATCTTGTAGAGGTGGCTTAAAGAGTTGCCTGTTTCCCTCTGTAGCCTTGTCAGATTTGTTACTGTTGGATTTATTTAAAGTGCAACATATAGAGAGGCTCAGACTGTGTCTTTGCTGAGAATGCAGGGTTGCAGTAAAAGCTGGTATGCATTCCCTGTATCAACTGTATGTTAACAGGTCTGTGTTTCCTATGAGTGTAGTAACTAATTCCCTGGTGGAAACATTTACTGAAGGTATTACCTTTTTTCCTATATATACATCAAATTTGTCTTCTAGCATCAGTCTACGTTTAGAGATCATAGCTTTTCATGCATGATGACATAGCTATGGCTAAATAAGTCCATGATATAAACTAGATGACCTGATGAATATATAGTCATTAACTACTGTTTTCAGTACTATCATTGCTTTCCCCATGGTATTTGCTAGGAAATGCACTCCTTCAATGCTTGGTGATCTGCAGATATGTTTTGGTTTTTGTGTTTTGTTTAGTGTTTTGTTTTTATTCTGCCTTGAAGTGTTTGACAGAATTTCTATTTGCAAAAACTATTCTTCAGTAAAAGCCTCCCCTGGAGTCTCTCCCTCTTCTCTCCATGTGGTTTTGGGTCTCAACAGCATAGTGGTGCCAAAAAAATACTGAATATTGAGACCAAGCAGATGAAAACCATCAGATGTTAGACTTGGTGCTTAGTGTACTTAGGGAGGTAATAGACAGGCTGAGGGATTGGGAATTGCTTGATTTCTATGTAGTATTTTCTTCTGCTACTAGTCCACGTCATTTCCCATAGCTGCTTCAAATAAAGCGTTGAATTTTTAACTGCAGCAGTGATAAATGATCCGCAAGGTACATAGATTTCGAAAAAAGGAAGAATAGAGAAGAGAAGAGTCAGAAAGGTTTTTGGTTCTAATCACTGAATGTTTTGACATGACCTATCATGTAAGCAAGTATACAAATGCAAATATTCTTTAAGTTTATTTAATTTATTTTGATTCCCAATAGCAAATATACACTAAATAGATATATAAAATATCCATTTTATACAGTACTGTCAGTATTGAGAATTCTATGTGCTGACCTAGGTAAGAAGTCAGGGCAGCTGAGTTCCAGCTATCTGCTTGCATTCAGCAATTTTAAGGTACTTACATTAACGAGGGATTCTTAACCCGTGTGATGTCAAAATATAAAAGAGGAAAAAATTAAATGAAAAATATGATTACAGTTGTTATAGATAAAGGAAAATGTTTGTGCTGGCCTACAAGGAGTTTAATAATCATTCCTATTAAGCTTGAAGCATATGATAGGTCTTGAATCCTACCTTTTAATGTTCAGAGTGCATCCGATTATGTTGACAGCAAAACATTGAAGGACATTTCCCTCTTAAAGTTGCAAGAAAAAAACAAAAAAAAAATTTAAAGGTTTTTTTGTGTGTTCTTGATATGAAACCCGCCTTTATCTCACTTAATAGATTATAAAAATATGTTCTATTTTAGAGACAAAAGACCTCACAATACCTTTTTATGGTATCTTTGCCGATTACCAAAAATGGCACAAGAAGTTGTTCCTGAAGTCTGATAATTTTTTTTGCCACTTTTCTTACAAAACTTTTTGGCAGAGGAAAAGGTCCTTACTGTGGAAAAAGACACTTCCACTTGATTTTTAGAATTTATTTGAAAGAAAGAATATGTCAAAACTATGTGATTTAAGTAAAGAATTTAACATCTATAATAGGAAACATCAAATACAGTTTCCAGTTCCACTTCCAAGAGTCTTCCATAAGATATAAAGGCTTTTGTTTAAATTATTCAGGTGTAGGTTGAACATTGTCAAATAATACAATGGATCCTACTAACGTATTGTTTCCAATTAATTGTCTCTGAAATAGTAAATACTTTGTAAACTGGTAAAATAGTGTAAAATTGACATTTTCCTGAAAATTTCAAGTATTGTAGAACTGATTTGGACAAGTTGCTTTTTGAAATGACCAACTTCGGTATCAGTTGAGGAAATTTCCAAGTTGCACACTGTTTCTGGCTAAAATGCAACGGAAAGTTGAAGGCTGAACCTCCCAGTACTTTACAGGATTATTGAAGAGGCTTATGCCGCTGTATAGTGCTTTCTTCTTTCTTCCTCCTGTTGGGCAGAAATCATTCACTCCCAGTTTTGCAATGTGATTAGAATGAAGGAAGACTACCTGCAGCAATAAGAAACAGTAAAGTATAATAGTTAGTATGTAAATGGTAAAAATATCTAAACATTCATTGGCATATAGATAACTGAGGCTTCCTATAAGATCAGTTGGATGCACACCTTAATAGTAACAGGAATTAAAAATTTGTGTTAAATCTTTAAAAAATGTCTCCCTCCTGCCACAGTCTCTTCAACAAAAAAAAAAAAAAAAAAAAATTCTATGATATTTTGTCAGTATAATTTGACTCTATTCTAATGCAACATTCTCCTAAAATGCAGTTTTATATTCTCTTATAGTAAGAATTATAATGATGCAGTATTATATTCTCCCACTCTTTCAGTGATTTAATATATTTTAAAAAGTAGTCTCTAGAAAAGTTGATATTAGAAGACATTTGTCAGTATGGTTATAGGAACAGATATGTCTAATGCTAATGTACTTTTTTTTTTTAAAGAGGCTTGTGATAGTAGAGTTTAGAATTTGTTAAGTAAAATAGTGTACATTGACAAAAGAATTCTTTTGTTTGTGTATCTAATTTTACATTACATTGTAAGTTGACGTTTGGGTTTATATATATATATGTAAAAAAATATTTTCCTTTAATTGCAAGTGAAATGAGAAGTGGAAAGAAATATTTCAGAGGTAAAAGCTTTTACCAAACAGCTTATTATGTGCTCTGTCATCTATGCATTTCTTCATGTTTTCCCAAGCTTTGTTCTGCCCTATATCCTAAGGTATATGTCAACTTATAAAACATTTGATTTTAATTGCTATTCCAGAATTCTGGAAAGAAGTGTGTTTTGAAAGCATTTTATTGCAGAATTTATCTAGTTCTATATACAAATATTAAAATCTTATCTCATCAGTTCAGCCTCATAAATAATTTTCTTTGGATTTAAGGTTTTTCAGCATAGGAATGGAAGAATTTCCACTCTGGCTTGTTAATATGGAAACTATTATAAATCTGTAACAAACTTTCTGAAAACATTTTCTAGGTGTAGCAGGTAGTTTTCTGGGTTTTCGGTTTTTTTGGGGGGTTGTTTTTTTTTTTTTTTCTCCTCCTACAAAGAGTTCCTGCTGTTTGATCTTATTTATTTCTTCAAGTACGTGTATGATTTCAGGTTTTCCTAGTATGAGAGTCATGTCAAAATATATGTGACAGTTAAGTATGCTTTTTAATTATGTCCTAATCAGTATGGCAGTGTGAAAGTCAAATAACTTGTATTTCTATTAAGTTTAATATATGACCTGCAGATATTTCAGTTGGGGTAATCCAGGAGGAACTTTCTTGAGCTTATTTTTTTCAAGATGGATTTCACGTATACTTGGTATGTTGGCAAAACTTCCATTTTCCACATCTTTGATTTTATTATTCCCAAGGCCTAGCCTAGAAATGGTACACAGAACATTTAATAAAAGATTAATTGAGATTCACAACAGCATTGAGGAGCATACTTTTTTTTTTTTAAAAAAGATTGAAATACACAGAAGTAGACATCAGGAAAAAAGAACTGGGGAAAGGTGATGAAGTCTTACCTCTGATAGGAAAAAAAACCATCATTGATCTAACAATTTTTTTTTTCTTAATTTAATCTCCACTTAGAGGACAGCAACTAGCCTGATGTGAGCAATTGTCCAGTTTTTCTACTTTCAGTGGCAAGATTTAAAATGATAAATATCAACCAATCTACTTGTAAAAGAAATCATGCCCTTTTATCAAGAGGTATAGCTACAAAGTATACTCACAGTAATAAAAAGTATTGCTCTAATAAATAGCCAGAAAAGAGAGAGTCTTATAAAGAAACAGTTATATATATAGCTTAGTCAAAAACTTTAAAATAAGCAGGACTACCTTCTTTCCTACTTCCATATTTTCCTTAATTTAGACCTTAGTTAGATTTTTTGCTATAAGACTTCAGCCTGTACTGCTGGGAAGATGATTCAGAAGCCGAAGGCACAGGTCAGTTTGGAGTTGCTCTTTCCACACATCCTGCAATCCCCTTTTTCTTTTTTCTTAATTTCTTCAGAAACTGAAGTTGGTATTTAAACGCAGTTTAGTAGTTCCTCTTTGATAATAGTTGCTATTACCAAATCGAAAATTCAGTGCTGCTCAGCCATATTGTCAGGGTACTTAACTGAGCTTTACAGAAAGAAGTTCCTCCTTTTGTCCTACGTCAGTGACCCATTCCTCAGAAACATGCATTTTTTCTTTTTCTTTAAACCCCATCACAGTTGGAAACGGTTGTCAAGTTGTTTCCTTTAACAGCTACTGTATTTCTCTCAGGCTAGTGAGATGAATTGATCTTATCTTATAATTTCTGAATTTTTCCATATGTTTGTATAAACAAGTCTCAAATTTCCCTTTTCATGCCATATCTTTTATGTTTTATTTTGGTATGTGTATGGAGGGTCTCCTTCCAGTACACTTAGACCTTCTCTGGGATTAAAAAGCCATTATGACTCTTAAATCCTATAAATTTAGTTGCAAGAAAGGCAACTCAAAACTGAAATAGTCTGTTCTATTTTAATATTTGGTTTGTTTTAAGTTTGGTCTTATTTACAGCAGTTCTTACTAAAACACTTAAAATTTTTAATTCTCTTTTCTCCCATTAAAAAGAGAAGTATCAAATCTCAAAGACAAGATCTCAAAGAGATCCTACCAGGTCTGACCTTTCATCAAATAAAAGAATTCTGCGTGGGAATTTTACCTTTGAAGATCTTTATACCGGTTAAAATCTTCAAGTTCGATTGCTGTGATCTTATTGTCATCTAAGTGAAGTTCTAGTAGACTGGAGGGCAATTCTGATGAAAACCAAACACACAGTATGAGAAAAATCAGCCAACTTATTTTTGTTGGAATATTTATTATATTCCAAGCAGCTTCTTTCCTGTGTTTAGGATGGGGTGAAGAATCTTGGAGGGGGGTTGTCCACATCAAAGAAATGGCTGTTAGATACAAGTATGTTACTTTACAAAAAATAAATCATCAACATTTGGTTAAAACAGTAACTTTTTAAAAAAATACATGCATATGCTAATGTTAAGACTTCAAAGTTCCAAAATTTGATATAATTTTGCTAGCTTTCTTTATATTGGCTTTCATTTACTTTTCGTTAACCTGTTAAAGATGTAAATTGCATGTTATGTGCAATTACCTAACAGTTGGTAGTCAAAATCCTACTCCTGTGGAACCTGTGGCAGTTTTTGTAGAAACGTATTTTCTTCCAAATGATGTAACAATTGTTCTGCTATAGCTCCTAACTTGTTATCTGGGAGGAAAGCTTTCAGAATTCTCTAAGCAAAATGAGCTATTTGGTATGTTCTTTCCCCTGCTGGTACACAGACTGTTTTCTCATGTTGGTACCAAATAGTCCTAAATCAGAACTGCCAGTGAATGCATCAGGAGATGGAGAATCTTTTTTACAAAATCCTTTTAGTGAGGGCAGAGAAAGATAACTACGCTTTTGAATTTCTATATGCTGATCTTATGTTCAGTTTTACTAGCATCTGTCTAGATGGCACCCTGACACCAAACAAGGCCAACCACATATTTCTGTTACTACTATGGCTTAGGGGAGCACTGCTCCCATCGCCATTGCCATTTGTTGTAACATTACAATACTGAAGGAAGGGATATGCTTTACAATCTGTCTTTACGCCAGTTGACATGTTTTAGTGTATGTGCATTTGGGCTTTTTTCCAGTTTACAATTCTGACGGGTGCTGCTTGTGTCTGAGTTACGGTATTTAGAAGACTGCTCATCTGTCCATTTTAGATTTTAAGTGCATTTTATAAGTTACATTTTAAAAATATTTTTGTGTCATTATAGCAATTGCAGACAGAAGGATCTACAAACTTAGTTTCCATTTGCGTAGAATGTGTTCACCATGAAATCCTGTTTGTTTATGATTTGTTTATGTATGTGGGACCTCATGCTGTATTGTTTCCTTATAGGAGATTTCTCAATAACAAAGACAAAATCTGAATAATTTTATGTGTGTTTTTTTTGTGCTAAGTGACAGGAGGTGATATTATGATGATACTAGAAGAATGTCCTTTTTTTGTGTTAGGGACGGTTACCACAGGCAGCCAGATAGTTTCAGATCTTAAAATGATCTGAACAGTTGAGGTGAGTTGGTTTTGTTTGTTATTGGGATTTTTTTTTAGGGTTGTCTGCTACAGGAATGCTTTTGCATATATATCTGTCTGCAAGAACGGATTAAATTTAATAAGAAACAAGTTCTTTATCTGAATGATCCAGAATTAAATATCTTAGGGGCCAACATTTAGTTTCCCTGTAAGTTAATGAATGATACAACATGCGGTGTTATGTTTTGTTTCCTCCCTTTTTCTCTTAGCTACTAGTTTTGAGCAGTTGAAAATCATGAGAATTTGGTTAAATACTATGTTGACCTACAGAAATAGGAGGTAGAGCGTTGTACTGAGTTCCTTCATGCTGCTTGTTTGGTCAGTGGTTTGTAAAGTTAGTGTTTTCATTTATTGCTACCTCCAAATCACAAGTTAATTGTTTTATATGAAGGAGTGATTTAATTTTGTAGTATGTTATGTTGAATTTAATTAAAATGTTAAGATGAAATTTTACTTAGCAAACCCTATCAAAAGATTTATAAAATGCTGTATTGGGTTTTACATTAAGGTGGTTATAATGCAGAACATATTTGAGCTATTGAGTCGCTTGAAACATTCAAAACTGAAGTTACAGATTTTGGGGGTTCATTTTAAATGCATAAAGGAAGTGGGAATTCTGTATCCCTTATGACCCAGTTCAAATATCAGGAGGTTTATCCTTTCTTTGTAAGGATTTTTGAGAGGCTGATGCAAAGTGACATTGTATTATCATTTTCTTCGTGTTGTTCCTCCTGAGAAGAGTCTCTGGATGACTCTGTCAGAGGAATGGACTGCCTGACAAGGAGAAGGCAGGAGAGGGGGCTGGAGAGCGAGCGTGTGTGCAGGTGCATGCACACTTTTGAGATGTAGAATTGGATACTAAGTACAAAAAGAAAAATAAGTTAGGAGGTGGTTTGATAGTAATGACCAATACAAAACAGAATTTATCAACATTTTAATATTCATGTAGATGGTAATGCATTTTATTTAGGAGTATACTGGTGTAAGTAAAATAGAAAATGTAAAACAAAGCATACCTTTAGGAATTGAAGTTAATTTAGCTTCTGCAATTCTTATATGATAGATATTTACTCCTTCAAAAGCCCCTGGCTCTATTCCATCATTGTCAAGGGGATTTGCACTCATTTCTGTCCAAGGGGGGAAAAAAAGTATTTACAGCATAGGAATTGTGTGTATGTTAGACTAAGTTATAAACAGCTGATTTCATTTTCTTTATGACTTCTGATGTTCTAAGCATTAATTAATGTTTAGCATTGATTACCTATTCTGAGGGGTGGAAGTCACAGCTTTCAGTGATTAAAGGCTGGGTAACTTGGCTTTCAGGGTTACCAGAAACTTGACTTATGTAGCAACTTCACACAGAAATTAAAGGAGGCAATTGCACATTGGGGAAATGTTTGAACAAAAGTTATACATATGTTACATTTTTGATAAAGACATTTTCTTTTCTACTCAATTGGACTTACCTAAAACATGTAAAGACGTCATTCCTTTAAATGCATCCTTGTGAATTTTCTTAACCTTATTAGCATGAATTCTGAGCTCTGCTAAAGTTTTTGGTAAATTTGTTGGAATCTCAGTTAGCTGGTTATGGGATAAATACAGTCGTCGTAGCTTCTTTGTTGGTTGAAAGGCTTTTGGATGAATCTTGGATATTTTATTGTTGTTCAAAGCCAGTGCCTATGGAATATGGGAAGAGCAATACAAAGAAAATTTCTCTATACAGGGATGTTATGATTGTGAATTTTAAGTCATTAATTTGATACATAATTTAACAATTAAGTATATAAAACATTTCATTTTCCCACCAAACTTTGGCACTTTGTGTATACTTTGGGCATTGTACTTGATTGTGAAAAGCAAAAAAGAACCTGGAAGCTGGAACATCAACCAGAAGGTAGAGAAAAAACAATCAGAGCTGACAGGATACCAATGATAATAAGAAGAATTGGCAAAACAATACATTTGTCTTCATGTATTTTGTGGAATTGTATGGGGGTTATATTCTTTCTTATTGTTGTTGCTCCTTAATGTAGACAAATTCTCAAAACTCAGGATTTCATCTTTTATTTCAGCATAATGCTGCAAAATAAAAGTCAGGTTTTTAATCTGAATTTCTTAGAAGTTTATTTCTATATACAACTGATATACACACAAATTTATTTCTTATTTGCCATAATTTTTCAGCTCCTGTGAATTGACGTCTCTCTCTTGACTATACGGTACACCGGTCCTTTTTTTGGGACACTTTTTTTGTTCTTGGTTACTATGTGTTATCAGAGAACTTGTAATAAGTTACTACAAAATATGAGTTATTTGACATTATTTGTCCTGTCAAATCACACCTCTGTATTTCTGTATCTAGACTATTAATTTTGTTCCTTTTTTACTTCTTTGAGCTGTTGGTAAGTCATCTGCTCTCTGGAATTGTGGAAAAAAACGTAGGGCAAAACTGAATTAATCCCTTTTTCCCCAGAAAAAAATGGGGATAATTTAAGGAAATAAACAGGAAATGCTCCTTCCTAATCCAAGTTACCATCTGTGCCGTTGCTAAGTAGACTAATACTCAGACAAGTTGTGTAAAGTAAACTTTCTTTTTAGTAAAAGATTTTGTTAGACCTTGCCATAAATTAACTGATGAGAAAAAGCAAAACAGCTCAGAGTTTTCAGTTATCGCCTAATTAAGTGGTGACTCTAATATATAATGTGGTGATTGCTGATGTATTCCAGTGACTTTCTCAGTCATTGGAGGTTTGTTTCTACAAGATTTTTTTGTACTGAATATAAACCACAGTTAGTGTGCTTACCCCTAACTTACTGGTAAGACCATTCTGTACTCAGACACGGGACACTTAAGGGGAATTGGAAACACTTTGTTGCAAATAATGAAGTTTTATGGTTCCTATTTTTAATATGCTAGCTTAACCCATAATAATTAACAAGCCTCTTCAAAAACACTTAGATCTGGTAAATTTTCAGTTCTTGCTCAGAAACCAAATATGACTGAAAAGGATTTGGTTTATATTAGTTTGATGGGTATTTCATGTCTTTCTAATGTGCAATAGAATGTCATTAATTTGCTATAACTTTTGGAACAGATTTGTCATTTTTACAATGAAAATTTTAAAATTGTCAGTATTCGTTGGTACTGGATCTAGAGTGACATCTTATGGAAATAAGTATTCCAAACGAGATTTAATCTTCCTTTCCGAGGCCTCTGAGACTCATTACAAAAAGAGATATTGTGTACTGTAAATATCTAGATTTATCAGTTGCCAGCAATACTTCTTTTATAGCCTGGCTCTACGTCCATACTTGAGTGTCTTAAAAAATAGTAGTAAAGCACATGACTCTCTCAGTAATTCAGCATTGGTCTGTTTTCTGTTCAGGTCGATTGGATTTGTAACATTAGTTTCAGTGGCATATGTATCAGTTGTATGCTGCGTGCTTTTGAAAATACCCTCAGAAAATATCGTTCTAGTTCTGTGAGATGAAGTTTATTCTTCTATTTTACAGCTAAGCAGATAAAAAAGGAGCACTTGTCTTGCAGCCTGTAAAATGTAGGGAGCGTTTCTGTGCACACTAAGGACTGAATAAATCTTGAGAATCTTTTTGGTGAGATACACATAGTACATTTTCTGGATGTTGTAGAAAGTAGCGTAGTTCTTAAAGCTCAAGGAAAGTTGCTTCTTACTAGTCAAATATGCAGGCGCTAGACTATTTTTATGGATACTGTTGGAGAAGAAAAAAATCATTTGTATTTTAAAAGTATCAAAATATTTCAGATCGCTAAATAAGAATGCAAATTTGGAAAATAGCAAGCTTACATAAAGTGATGTGAGTCCTTGGAGATCATTTTCCTTGACTTCTTTAATTTTATTGTTTTGAAGATCAATCATACGAGTATCTGGTGGAATGTTTCGAGGTATTGATGTCAAACCTGTGAAATAAACAGAAACATGATGTGCCTGTATAGAAGTCCAAAGAAATTAACTGCTAAATAGCAAAACACAGTAAGATTGTTGATTATTATGATTGGAAGGAAAATAGGAACAGCCATAAAGCAAAGGATAGAAGGGGATATTTGATAATGAGAGGAACTAATTGTGTAAGAATGTATGACAAAAAGGCGTGGATAGTTTCAGGGGGAACTGCTTCTACCCCTGACCGTGAAAAGCTTGAGTGGAGTTCTCATTGCAGATTCCTTGCATGTGGGAAATAAGCCGCCTCAGAGCGCAGGTTGGTTGTTTTACAGGGAAACTGCTTCAGTCCCTGGAGGAAGCAGCCCTCAGAGGATCTGGGGCTCTGGTTCTGGCTCTGGATTGAGGAACAGGGCTGTTGTAGTGGCTTTAAGGGATCTCTGCTCAGTGCTTGAATGCTCCTTTCTGCCTCTACACTGCCCTTTCCCTTGTATGGGCACCATTGCTTATATAGCCATACAGATAACATCAGGACTGAGAAATGTATTCTTGTTAAAAGTGGCAAAAGATGGTCTTCCAACTGCCAGTACTTAATTACCAGTTGTATAAATCCCCCAGTCCAGTTCACTGTTCAGTTACAAAGCCACGTCAGCTCGTGCCATCTGAGATCTCAAATCAGCAGAAGAGTCTAGCAAGGGATAGTTACCTGCTTTTCAATGGAAACGCTGATGCATCAAATGCTAAATGCTGCTCCAGTTTGTTAACAGTTATTCCATAATTAATAGGCTACAGTCATTTAAAGACGAAGTCTTTTAATAGGGGTTTTTTTCTATGTGTGAACTTAAAGTAATTTGCAATCTGTAAACCAGATGCGAGAACCATAGCTTATTGCTGTCAGCAAAAGTTTATTTTGATTTCTTAATTATGACACATTTAAAAAACCCCAGCAATTTATGTATTGACTCAGTGTTTCTAAGACATAGGAGGAGTCTAGGATTAAGTGTAGGATGGTGGCAGAGCTGTGATGAGAATACATGTCACTGTCACTGTGCTAGTGGCAGGAGCATAGTCCTTTGATTGCCTTGAAACGTGGGAAAACTTCAATGAATACTAATTCAAATTGGAGAGATTAATAATGAATTCATATTTAGGGACTAGTATGTATCTGCAACACTGACAGTAGCAGATTTGCCTTCAGTTGAAACGTTATTAGTGATGCGCACTTTAATGAAAGTTAAGCTGAGCAAATAGTTTGTGTCTTATTTATGCGCTGGTGTTAACCTTCCTTGTGGTTTATTTATGGCCTCTTTTTTATGTTTTCTTGTCAGTTGTAAATGAAGTACAGAACTACTTTAGCCATAGTCTTTTTTGAGAGAGGAGACTAATAGCTTGTCTAATGCAAACAGAAGATACAGCAAACTTGTGCTCCTCTATTTGGATGTAACTTCATGAAAGTAAATGAAACAGGAGAAAGTGTAATCTAAAATGTAAATATAAGCGTTTTTGCCTTCTGTGATGTTTTAGTGGATAAACTATTTATTCAGTTAAATAGTTCTAGAGTTATTTGTTACATATTCTAAATGACTTTCCATTCTATGCTGTTATCAATAGAAGTCATTGCTAATGGAAAGTGGCTATAGCAGTTTGAGTTTTCCAAACTGATGCACATGAACTGGGAAAATATTTATGTTGTAAAAAGTGCTGGACACAAATTTGTTGCTGCATATGAATTAGATATGGTATGCAAACCTAACTGAAAAAATGTCAGCTCCTTTTGAAAATGACTAGTATGTGTAGAAGTTCTGGAGCTGTAGAATTCATCTTTTAAAAGGCAAATCCTCCAAAGGAGAGTCCAGTGGAGAACAGACACATAAATTCATTCTTACCTAGGTCAGAGCAATGGACAACTCTCACATAGCACTGGCATCCAAAGGGACATATTGGGAACAGATCAAAAGGAATTAGTGGTATAATTGGTTCAGTGGTTGGAAATAGAGAATTGTCATCATCGTCATCGTCATCATCTTCTTCCATGTCTTGGAGCATCATATTCTTTAGTGTAAAATATGAAGGACCAATGAGAGGTTTGGCAGAGCACAAAGCCAAGAAGAGGAGGAGTGTGTATTCTTTCATATCTTCTTAATCAGGATAGCCAATCTTGAAGAGGAAAGTAAATAAACAAAAAACCCCAGACGCAAGACTCAGTGAATGTGAAACAGCAAATAAACGTATTTACTTCACTTACTGCTACAGTCTGTGGTCTTGAAAAAAGGTCTGTTATGAATATTAAGGTTTAATTAGTACATGAAAAATGCAGAATATTTAAAATCTTCTTTAAAATATATTTATAAAATTATGTGTTATAATAAATACTATTAAAATAATTCATCAGCCATTAATGCCATATAAAAGTGTTTTAGCTGAGTTTAAAAAATAGTATCATCATTTGCTTCAGGCTTTGAAGTGTAATTTTTCTAGCAAATTTTACCAGAACTTGAAATTTGGTTTATTTTATTCCTTCTTAATGAAAAAATATTTTCAATGGGATACGTGGACTTACGTGCATTGCTTGTATCTAGAAAATCGGGAAATACTTGATTAGCAATACATAAAATGCACTCATAAGGATACTCCCTAAACATTTCCAATTAAAAACTTCTTATTCTAACCTGGAAAAATAGGTAAGAGTTTTCAGTCCTGACAACAGCTTTTCCCAAATTTCAGACATTTGAGTATTATCGCTATTGACAGAAATTCACCTCTGTATTTTAATGCAAGCACATTTGTACATGACTTGTATTTGATGAGGTCTCTTTTCCCTGACAAGGGCTTGCAGGTTATGGGTCTGTGTCACTTGAAATCAGTAACTTAAATTGCATCCAGAAAAAAGTTGGAAACCAATACTTCTATGTGCATATTTTTTCAATAAACATTTTTTTTTCAACCAGCTTTGTTGTCTTGGGGCCTGTACGTGATAGCTAGGCAGCCAGCTATATTCGAAAGGAGCTCAAAATGTGCTGTACTTGAATTTAATGCCATAAACCCCATCAGCTTTCTAGATTACCTGTAACTTGAAAGTGTCTTTCCTGTGTAATCGAAGGTCCTTCAGTCTGGAAGACAGAAAGATGTTGGATTGGCTAGAGTACCTTCAATGCAGAAACCGCCATATCAGATCGCTACATTTCTTTTTTTCTGATGTTACTGAGAAGAATACACAAGTTACAAAGGACTTAAAAAGTAGATTTGTCTTTAGAAAAATTGGACAGATTCTGTCTCATTACAGCTGTTCATTCAATTTCATTCCCCTTCTCTGAGTTCTCATTTTACCAGATTTCTTTTAGCCACACCTGACTGGGAAAGCGAGGAGTCCAGTCCTACAGTATAGAGTGTTACCTGAGTAATGATGATCAGCAGGTCAAAACCCTTAGATATTTTCTACTCTGGTTTTATTATAAAGATTATTTTATGACCAAATAGTCCTATAAAATTAGACACAAAGGAAAACAGAAATAGTAAGAATTGCAACTCTGTGAGAAAAGACTGTAAATTCCACTCCCAGCTCAACATTGTTCCCACTGAAGCCCATTTCTGGGAGTTGTTTGGATCCTACAGCGCACTGTGCAAACTAAGAGGGGCTGTTGTAAAGTTTATTATGCATATCCTGTTTATAAAAATGTTTCTATTTAGACTATCATAGACCTCTTTAGGGAAATATTAAATGGATGTCAATTCTTGTTTGATCACCTAATTAAACGCTTGCTGATCTGTTTATAGCTGTAAAGTGTCTTTATGTAGGCATTTTGTCATTGGTCCTCAGTCACAGAAAAAGGAGTACACTGGTTTGTACAAGGGTGTTGACTTATTTAAAATTCTGAGGTTTTGCTTGTATTTCTTTTTTTCCGTACAAGGTTGTTTTGATGTTTCTTGTATATGGTTCTTAACAGCATTAAAATGCTGTGTATTGCATACATTGCTACTACTGTAATTGTGTATGTTTCAGAGTGTATAAAAAGAAAAAAGCTAACAGTAGTTAGACTATGTAAAACTCACCCTTTCAAAAAGAATGCAGTGACTCCTCCCCTCCAAATATGTGTCTGAAAACAGAAGTACAATATACTTTGTGTCTTGTAGGTATGCAGCATATAACTGTAAGTTTGATATTTATTGTAATCTTCCAGTTTCAGTAGAGTGTGTACCTTTACTGATTTAACAATCTCTTAAAAAAATAATCCCATATATTTTTCCCATATATTTTCCTTTGTGTTCAAAATAATGTTGTCTTTCAATGCTCCTTTTTATAGTTGTACTTGCAATCCTATACAACGTGTTTTCCTGAAAGACACTTTGAATATAAACAGTGCTGGGAACAAGATGTGGAACGTATATTTGTTTGTTTGCAAAGAATTGTGGTCAGGTCTGGCTTGTACACCTTTGGAATATTTGGCACTTTCAATCTTGTATTTCAGCTTCAGCAAAACAATCAAAATGTTGAATACTTTAGTCATACCATTAATTAGGAGATGAGGACTTTGAAGCCTTTCAGACTTCTGAGTTCTTCTTATTCTTGGGCAAGTGCTTTAATGGATGGGTGTTCACAGATGGACACTCAGACTGGTCTTCTTCCCCTGGCTGCTTAGATATTAAGTGACAAAACACTCTGTGCTTTATTCAGTAGTGTTGTACCATTTCTGCATGTAGCGTATCAGGTGTTGTAGCATGTACCATAGAATCATTTTCGCTGGAAAAGACCTTTAAGATCATCGAGTCCAGGTATCAAGTGTTGTAGCATGTACCATAGAATCATTTTTGCTGGAAAAGACCTTTAAGATCATCGAGTCCAACCATTAACCCAGCACTTCCAAGTCCACCACTAAACCATGTCCCTGTGGGCCACATCTACATGTCTTTTAAATACCTCCAGGGATGGTGACTCAACCACTTCCCTGGGCAGCCTGTTCCAGTGCTTGAATATCTTGGGACTATTTGTGGTAGACACTGGATGTATAGTTTTGTTGTACTTTTTCACGTATGTTCCTGAAATGTTCCTCTGGATATGGTGCTAGGAAGTTGTATTATGAAACAATTTAAAAATCTGTTTCCACACTTTCACCTGTAGCAAATGGACTGCATATTTCAAGGTATTCAAAAAACTAATTATGATTTCGAACTATGAAAAGGTTGAAGCTATGATTGGAGTACTGGCTGATTTGAACTCTTGAAAAACACGCGTTGTTCACAAACAGTGCTAGAAAAGTAGTGCTAAAGTCTGTCATTGACAACACATGTTAGTCCTGTGAGTTAAATCTCTTGAAAACAAGTCCCTTTACAGAAGCAAGCCTGAGTTGTGATGATGGGTTTTGTTTTGGGTTTTTTTGGGTGTGGGTTGGGTTTTTTTTTTTTTTTTATTTGTTTGGTTTTGGAAAGAGAAAAAGCCCTTGCTTCATTTTCCCATTTTGCCATTAGGAAATCCTTATTGCTAATTGGCTTTGTAGTTAGAGGTGGTAATCAAGTTTGACTCTAGGTTTACATTGACCAAAGAACTACCAAAGAATGGATTCCAAAGAACTGCTAAAGAATGGATTCCAAAGAACTGGATTTTATGGAGGCTTTTAATTATTTTTCCTGGCTGGGGTTTTAAGTTTCCCAGTAAATAGATGTTGATATATCTCTGTAGAAGTGCTCTGACCCTGCAGCTCATCTCAAAGAACTTGTACAAACTTTCTGTGTGCTTAAACTTCAGGAGTAAGAGAATTAAAAGAAAATTAAAGCCTAAAATCCAAGATCCTAGTGATCTTTCTGGAAATATGTTAATTATTTTATCATGAGAATTTTATGCAATATTTAATTGTTTCAGAAAGTACAGTTCATTAATGCAGCTGTACTAATGGTCTGCTGCTGCCACTGAGGCTGGTTCTGCTCCCAGGCACATACTTTCAGTTCTCTCATACCAGCTTTTCTGCTCAGGCTGTTCTCTGAGCTGATTGAACTCACTCAACCAGCATAAAGCTAATGTGACCAAGGGAAAAAAAAAACCCAACACATTCTTTCTGAGTGAACAGACTGAATCAGTCAGAGTATCAAAGCCAGCACAAAGGAGTGGGTGGAACAGCTTGGTTTAGGGGGGCGGAACGTTGAATGGAAGGAGAAAGGAACAGCCATTCTTGACTTATGCATGCTGGTAGACAGGCTCAGGTGTTCTGTTGAATAGTGCCCTGAACAGATGATTGTTGCTTGGGCAAAGTCTGGCCTTGTCCAGTTTCATTCTTACAGACCAGAACATTGAAGATGAGTTTGAGAAAGAG